GGTAAACCAATCTTCCTTTGGCCACATCTATCACTTGCATCCATTACCTTATTGGCTTGGGACGGATCGAGACTCAGTCGAACAATCCAACTAATGGAATCCATTTCCACCTGAGTCCCTTCATAAGGAAGATAGGTGAGAAGACCGTAGAAGTTTCTCTAGAGAATGGAAGAAAGCGGACCAATTAGATCAGAAGATGGGAACGGGAAAAAAACGAAGTCACGAACCAACCAACGCTATCTTTTTTCGTCACGCAAGAGCACAAAAACTTTTTCTCTTAAAAGAATCGGGACTTGCATTCTAAAGTACTGCTGCAAATGCATTAAACATTGATAGAAAACTTTTACCCGGGTTTATATTTTCTATAGTGGATACCATTTCTATTGTTCCGAACATAATTTAAGAATAAAAATGCTTTTTCAAACAAAATACTTACTGGAGAATTTTAAAATATTAAAATTGAATAATATATGACTATATCCATCATATAAAGTACAATAAATTTCTGAATAAAACAGATTTAAGAAATTACAAAAATAGTGGACTATTCAAATGCATAGTTTATTTTTAATTAATAAGACATGATTTTATAGATTTCAATGCATTAAAAAATAGAGAGAGTAATATATTGCAAATTATAGCCTATAACTTATTATAGGCCTACAAAAATATACAATAAATGACATTTTAATGATAAAAATTTTAACTGAGATCCAATAACAACATTTTTGTTAGTATAAAATTATGTAAGAAAATATTTTTAGCCTTAAACAATTAAAACTAGAATTTAATTAATCTTTTACATTGATTATGTAATATTTAATTTCAATTGCGTTTTAATATAATAAGAATTTAAATATTAAGATTCATTTAATTTTAAATTAGCCAATATTTAATGGAAAAAAATCCATAATTAATAAGTTAAAAAAATATGAATAAAATTTTTCTCTTTAATTTTCATAAAAGTTATTATTACTATCGGTAAAATTCTCTTTAACGTTTTAAAGTTTAAATTTAATAAGCCTTAAATAAAATACACAAAACATAATTTTTTATGAAAAATGTTTCCTTAGAATTTAATCATGAAATTTAAAAAAAAAAAAATGTTTATGCCTTCTAATCATTTTTATTTAATATTTTACACCTTTAATTCGTTAAATGTTCTTTGATATGGAAATTTCATACAACTATTGACATATAAGTTAATAAGTTTAAAATTGAAGTTACGATTTCTTTAGCTCAGACTATACAGTTTTATAAATATTCACGCTTTTCCTATTATGTTTTTAGGCCATACTCAGCGTAACAAATTACTGTTAGAGAAACCAGAATCCGTAGAGATGCGTGCACCTGAAAAATTGCAAAAATAATAGGCGAACGAGTGTTATTAGCTTATCAGTATAAGAAGGAAAGTACTCCTGTACAATCGTGTAAGTTTTGATATTATGTTACTACAGAAGCTTGCCGATTAGAGGTAATCGAAGTAGATAAGGTTATCTATTTTACAAGATATTAAAAAAAAAAAAAGAAAAAAGAAAAATCGTTCAGACATTATCATATTTTCTAGATACGCCAAAAAAGAAAGGGAAGAAATAAAAATTAATAATCAAAAGTAGCTGAATTTAAGTATAATTATGAATACAATACAATGGTGACGTCTTTCAGAAAATTGACACCAGCTGTCGCTACATACAAGGGAGTGTATAATTTGATTTGTCCTATGAACTATGCCGAGATCCATTTTGTGTGTTTCATTACAAAAATAAAAAAATATTAACTGTTTAAGTTTTTAAATTTCTATTCTACTAAAACTATTGTATACTTACTTTATAAAGAAAGACAAACTAAAGTATTTTTTTTACTAGCAAAAATAAAATTTCAATTAACAATTAATGACACAAAATACTCAGTTTAATTCAACCAATAATTAAATTTCAAGCTCAAAAAAGAATTATAATCTAAAATGAGCTTTATAATAAATAATAAACATATTAATAAACTAATCTTCATGTAGTATCTTTATTTTATCTAGCTTAAAATTATTATTTTTTCCTATTTAATCCGGTTAAAGATTTCTCATTAACTGCATTTTAAAAATTATCGGATTAATTAAAAATTATATATTATTAATCTTCATCGATAACCTTCAAAAATCTATTTTAGTTGTTTTTATAAGCATAAAAAAAAAAGAATTTCGATCGAAAATAAGCTATATCGGCAGCGCCATAACTCGATCGGTAAGTCGCCATGGCAACGGAGGCGGAACGTACAGAATTGGCATGCAGAGAGTTAACCAATGAGAGCGATGGGGCGTAGTAAGTGGGAGGAACGTGAGCTGCATGAAGAATGAATAATGGTACACATTTCGAATGTTTATGTCGGGAGCCATGCTGTCTTCCTTGGCTGTGTGACGTCATAGAAAATATATGTAACACGGTAGTAATAATTCTTGTTTATGTGACAACCGAGTATTTGGACGATTATTTTTCTGATTACATAATACGACATTTATGGTATCTATTTTAAAATCGAATTTTTTTGTCGAATTTTAGAAATTTAAAACATATTTAAAATTCTGTAGGCAATATATTTTGTCATTGTAGAGATTTTTAGTGAATAAAAACCAATAAAATAGCTTATTAAATATATTTATATATTGTAAAGTCTATTATAGAACGTCGAGATTTAAAAATAAGTTGTAAAGTTTATTTTCTATTTACGTATGAACAGACCAATAAATTATAGTAAATAATTTAAATTAAGTTATTTATGGCAATTTAAGTTTCATTATTAAAAAATAAGTTTAATATAGATATAAATAAGGCAAAAATGTTGATATTAATTCAGAACTAAGCCTTCAATTTACTGATTTTAAACGATTATAAATCAACACATTAAGTGATTATAAATGAACACAAGTTATGAAATATCGAAGTCGTGCTTTTAAAATAATGTATGAATCTATATGCGGTAAGAAATATCATATACCTGTTTAAATTCTTTTAATACGAAGCATCTGTTATTAGGAGGGGTGTATCTTTTTGTCAATATAACATGATCAAAAAACAATAAAAAGAATAAAAATTCTGTACTATAGGCTATAGTACAATACTGCACAGTATTATACATTCTTTTTTTCAATATATAATACTGAATATTTTAGAATAAGTTTAATCAAACAATTTATTTTAAAATTTTTTTGGTAATAAAAATTAAGTCTATATAGGCTATGTTTAATGTCTGTTTNTATATACACAGTATTTACATCTTTCTTAATTACTTTTATTTTTTACTAAATATCTTTGTTAAATGCTTAAGTTTCTACATTTATGATTATGTTTAAGTGTGTAATGTGGTACTCATTCCAACAGTTAGTTTTATATTAATTAAATCGTCTTTATTTTGTAATTTTCGTCTTGTAAATATTTTTCATGGGTAGAGGGGAGTGGCAAAGGTAAAAGTTGGACCACACCTTTATTGGTCAACCAAACAACAGGAGGCCTAGGAGTGAACCGCTGCCATCTTTTCTATCACAGACTTATTGTCTTGGAATGGGGCTACAATTAACTTTTATGTGAACTTCCCTAACCTTAAATGGGAGTAAAATTTCTAGACAATGAGTCAAAATTAAATTAAAAAGTAAATAAATTCAATCTAAAATTTTTAAATTAATAAAAATATAAATAATTTATTTTAGAAAATCTTCATAAAATTTCATTTATGCGCTTAAATTTTGCAAATAATTTAGGCTTTATATTAATTCTAACGCTGATTTTACAAGGTTTAATGGTTAAGCTTACAAACTTTTCGAATGTCATTAAGGATAATGTATTACTTAAATGTAACAAAGTCTCTGTTAAATTTAGACGTTAGTTATGCTTGTTGAAATACAACATAGCGAACAAGAGAAGTCGGTTAACGGTTGGTTTCAAAAGTAATTAAACTTTGTAACACTAGTGAAATGAAGTAGGGCGGAGTAAAGAAATGAAAGAAAAAAAAGTGTTATCCTCATCTATACCGCAATTCGCTTTTCTTTAGTTAGAAGTTTGAACTTTGTCGGGATAGGTCGTCATGGAAAACGTGAAGGCACGTGGATTTCGTTTTGCTTCATTTATTAGGTGGAGAGAACATTAAGACTCCCTTTGAAAAAAGTTACAAATAAAATCAACCAATGTGCATGGATAGAATAGAGATAAGGGCATTTATTTGCATTTATTTACCAATTAAAATTTACACTGAAATCAACTAATAGAAGTTATGACAACATTTAGTGTGTCATTCTTTTAACTAATTTATATCAAAATTTTAAAAAGTTTACTCTGAATAAGTAAATGTTAAGTTAACTTTAAAACTTTAATTTTTCTTATTGCAAATTAAGGATTAACCTTTAAAAAGACTAAACTAAACTTGTCAATTCAGAAATAATAAAAATATTACTTTAATTATTTATAATTAAATTTTGTAGCTACATACAATAAAATATAAAGCTATATTTTTAATTATATTAATAATTTCTAAAAATATCAGTTTTATTTTTAATTAATATCGATCAATTTTTCAGTAATTTTATAATTTTTTATTGTTGTGTTTGATAAGGTGAAAACTTCGAAAATGCTTAGTTTCTGTACCTCCAGAGGGTGCGACAATCAAGGAATAAAGTAGCCCGTTTAGTTGTAAGTATTCTCCACTAGAGGGAAATATTTACAAAATGGCGGACAAATGCTGGCGGGAAAATTAAACGACAAAAACTTAAACATAAAGTATATCATGGAAGTAATTATAAAATTATATTCATTTTTGACGATGATTATAGAATTTTTCAAAAGGGTTATTATTATAAAATTAATTTTGATTTGAATTAGAAATGATTAAATTTTGACCTAGTTATATTAATAAAAATTTAAAATATTTATTTATAAATGTTTGACCAAAATAGCGTTAAAAATTATATTACGAATTAGTAAAGAAACTGAAAAAACGATAGCGAAACAAAGACTTACCAAACTGACTCCTCATCCATGGATACAGTGGACTTGGCAAGTTGCCCGAGCTCGGAGGCTGGACCTGCTGTTGCACGTGGTTCCCGTTGGGATTGGAGGGAGTCACGTGGTTGGGTGTGTATATTTGTTGGGGTGGAGAATGTACAGGACTCTGGCAAGGGGCCTGGTGCATGTTGTTAGGTGGGCAGTCAGAGGTCAAAGGTCGCTGGACGATGACGTTGGGATCGTGGGTCATCTGTTGTTGTGGCATTGGTTGAGGCTGTTGTGGAGGTTGTTGTTGCATCTTGCAACTCGGTGGGTATTGTGGTGGTGACATGTTAGGGTGTTGTTGAGGTCCTTGAGGATCGTTAGGAGAACCACGACAATTTTGTCCATCCTGAGGTACGTAAGCGTTCGGGTGAGTGAGTGGTGCATGCTGAGGTTGTGGTGGCATGGGACCTGGTGGCTGCTGAGTGCAGTGATTTCCATAATAATGCCCGGGGGGACTTGGAGAACTTGGTGCAGATGTTATGGGACGAATTTCCAATCGGTCATATGGTGGAAAGCGTGGATAAGTGGCACCTTGGGCTGGTGATGATGCTGCATATTGAGGTTGAAGATACTGTCTCTGTCCCTGGTCACAGGTGTCCCGTCCGGACTGAGCGTGAACACTCTGGGGTGTATAGTGATCTCCACCGCCAGCATTTCTCAGGTCCGTCAGATATGTGTTTGGGAAATATGAACTCATGGTCCCCGATGATTTGTGATCTTATTTAAATATGGGGAAAGTTGATCAGAAGTTGTTGAAGGAGTGGACTGCGCAGGCGTGTTGGCTTGTAGGATATGCGATGAGAACCAATGGCAGTGCTCTGTACATCCACGCCTGCAGGGAAAACAGAAAGAAAAAGAAGAATAGTTTTAAGACAAATGTAAGGAATACGTAAATTGCTTTATAGTATTTGAAGCGTCTGAGAGAACAACAATTATAGATATTATTTCAACAGTTTTTATATAATATTGTCAATAATTATTATACAAATGTATTATCTAAAAACCGCAGAAACTTTATATTATACTGTATATATAGGCCTATAGTAAATGCATTTACATCTTCATATTCAGTTAATTTCTTGAATTATTTATAAAATCTTAAAACTATAAATATAAATTACTTATGCGACCGAACTAATGACTTTAATTAGACCTACTTATCTAATGGAAACTAGTCCGTTGTGTAAACATTAATTTTGGTCTATTCCTTAAAATCTGAAATTGTTATTTGTGTGATAATGTTTAATTTTAAAACGCTTTACATGACACTTTTTAAATATTTTTAAACTTTTAATAAGCAATCTATATGACAACCATAAAAAAAAAATTGAAAAAGAACATTGGTTGCTAATAAAAAATTATGTACTATGCATATTCATAGGAATATTTTAAGACGTATTAATGTATTAAACTTGCTTAAAATAATTTATTCCCATATGATTTTAAGCAAGTTTAATAAATAAAATGCTTATTTTAATAATAAGTAAACATTATATTTTAAATTAATATAGAATATTAAATTCATCTAAAATTATAAAAACCAGATTTATAATTCGCATTGAATAATTTTAAAAATTGTAAATTATATATTTAATTGTAAACAGAATTGTAAAACTACTTTATGCGATCAGTTTAAATTTTTTATTCACTATTTTAGTTGTGTTGAGAATCGTAAATAGTATTTTTTCCTGTTTAATGTATTATTGCTATATTAGTTATTTTATTTATTAATTTAAAAAACTAGAATAATAATCTTAAAACCAGCCAAAAAATATTATACAATCTTTTAATTCAGAAATTTAATAAATCTACAAACTAATCTAACAATAAGAATATAGATTTAAAAATTAGGCTATTTTTAAGAATGTTTTTATAAAAACAATTGAATAATTAAAGATATATATATACACAGTATTTACATCTTTCTTAATTACTTTTATTTTTTACTAAATATCTTTGTTAAATGCTTAAGTTTCTACATTTATGATTATGTTTAAGTGTGTAATGTGGTACTCATTCCAACAGTTAGTTTTATATTAATTAAATCGTCTTTATTTTGTAATTTTCGTCTTGTAAATATTTTTCATGGGTAGAGGGGAGTGGCAAAGGTAAAAGTTGGACCACACCTTTATTGGTCAACCAAACAACAGGAGGCCTAGGAGTGAACCGCTGCCATCTTTTCTATCACAGACTTATTGTCTTGGAATGGGGCTACAATTAACTTTTATGTGAACTTCCCTAACCTTAAATGGGAGTAAAATTTCTAGACAATGAGTCAAAATTAAATTAAAAAGTAAATAAATTCAATCTAAAATTTTTAAATTAATAAAAATATAAATAATTTATTTTAGAAAATCTTCATAAAATTTCATTTATGCGCTTAAATTTTGCAAATAATTTAGGCTTTATATTAATTCTAACGCTGATTTTACAAGGTTTAATGGTTAAGCTTACAAACTTTTCGAATGTCATTAAGGATAATGTATTACTTAAATGTAACAAAGTCTCTGTTAAATTTAGACGTTAGTTATGCTTGTTGAAATACAACATAGCGAACAAGAGAAGTCGGTTAACGGTTGGTTTCAAAAGTAATTAAACTTTGTAACACTAGTGAAATGAAGTAGGGCGGAGTAAAGAAATGAAAGAAAAAAAAGTGTTATCCTCATCTATACCGCAATTCGCTTTTCTTTAGTTAGAAGTTTGAACTTTGTCGGGATAGGTCGTCATGGAAAACGTGAAGGCACGTGGATTTCGTTTTGCTTCATTTATTAGGTGGAGAGAACATTAAGACTCCCTTTGAAAAAAGTTACAAATAAAATCAACCAATGTGCATGGATAGAATAGAGATAAGGGCATTTATTTGCATTTATTTACCAATTAAAATTTACACTGAAATCAACTAATAGAAGTTATGACAACATTTAGTGTGTCATTCTTTTAACTAATTTATATCAAAATTTTAAAAAGTTTACTCTGAATAAGTAAATGTTAAGTTAACTTTAAAACTTTAATTTTTCTTATTGCAAATTAAGGATTAACCTTTAAAAAGACTAAACTAAACTTGTCAATTCAGAAATAATAAAAATATTACTTTAATTATTTATAATTAAATTTTGTAGCTACATACAATAAAATATAAAGCTATATTTTTAATTATATTTAAAAGTGTATATCTATAGAACTATTTTGAATAAAATTTAAATTAAGGAGCACGTTAAATGTTTTGTACTATTAATTTTTTTGGATATTAATACATTAAAATATTTTTACTCCATCTTAATCTGTTAATAGATCTATATTAATGTAATTAATATAGATCTATTAAACAAATTTAAGTTGTTTTTATGTAGACTTAACTTTTAAAAATAAACAAGAAGTTATTTTTAACTTAAAGTAACTTTACAGCAAGTAAAATGATATTATTTAATTAGTTATCAGCTAAACAGACTATTTGAAGTTAGAAATTTCTATCAGAATTATCCGAAAATTTGACTCAAAACGTTTTACTAGAAGAAAAAATAAACATATTCACAATATAAGGTAGATTATTTGATAAATTTCAGTCATAATTACATCGTTTTTTTGTAACAATTTACATATACTGTACTGTAGTTAACCTATTAATTAATTATATACGTAACTTATAACAAGTTATAAGTTAAGCGTGTAAACCAAACTTATTTAATGAACAATTATATAAAAAAATTACAAATTATAATTTACTGTAACTATTATGCCAATGTATTTTGGTGCTGAAGCTTTAAAACTACGAAATTATTGCGTTTTGTGATTATTGTTTAAAGTTAAAAATATGTATAATAGAATGTTATGGTTCATTGTAAACTTAATTCTATATTTAAACTTTGATTATTCTACGAATAAATATCTTTAAATTATGTTAACGATTTATTCAAATTTTGTTATTCTCGGTACAAGAGCGGCTTATGCTGATACTAATGCTAAAATATTTTCATAATAATAGTTTATAGTAATCTCATTTTAATAAATGGAATCACTAATGATGGTTGGCCTACAGGGTTTGCCTAAATGGTCTCAAAAGGAATTCAGTAGTTTAATTGACATACCTTCTAGTCATTTGCAGTGATGGCCGAGATGTATGGTATTACACTTCATAAATGGCTCAACATATTCCAATAATTTCTTCCAATTACTAGAATGTGCGGAATTGAATATCAGCTTAAAGGAAGTAGGTAAATTATATTATGAAAAATCTCAGATATGTTTTTATTTTTATTTTTACTACGTAGAAAAAATTTTCATTGTTAAATATTATATCCTCTCGTTTTTTCTTAGATTTAAGCCATTAATGGTTTTTTAACATTAGGCAGAGTTATCGTTATTCCAAAGACTAATGGCATACAGATACGGGTGGGAACATGTATAATCTTATAACTCGTTTAATCATTACTGACTTCAAATCATCTGGAGATGATGGTGTCAGCCTAAAAGATATAAAGATTCTAGAAAGATTGAGGTCCTGAACATACATCCTTTAAAATCCGAGTGGGTGTATTATAATGTATAGTATGAAACTAGTCTTCAAAATCTTTATATGTCATAGTTTAAACACAAATATATAGGCTATATATTACGATTTATTACTGTTTATTTATCGATGAAGATGATTTTGTTATCTACATCAAAGTTATTTAATATAATATGAATTGTTCCTTGATAGGAAAAAAATTGAGAATTTTATTGTTTTAAAAAGGAAAATAGTATAATGGGACGTAATTATAAATAATAACTTCAAAAAAAATGCATGTAAACCTGTATGTAGGAATCATACGTAGACTTATCTAGGCTTCTAGCACATACAGATATAAAATAATTTATAAAACATAGTTGCAAATTTACAATGAATTCCATAAATTCTTTTATTTTTTGAAAATTTGATAGTTTAGAACTTATTAAATCATTAAAAAATTAAAAGGATAACGCAATTTTTTGTTGGGATTATTACAGGCGCATAACGTGCCTACGAAAAAAAAGTAAGTAAAGATGATTAGCTTAGTTTCATAAAACTATTTAGTAGAAAAAAATGATAAATGTTGGACTATCTAATAGGATCTGTCCTCGTAGAGTGAAGGAATGTTCACTTCATCAGTTTATCAAGATGGTTGGGTGGCTCAATACTCATGAATCACATTGAAGCATTCAGTAATGAGTTACAATATACACAGATTGTTACAATCTTTTTTTTTTAACCCTGAACTCAAGGTTAAGGCCATATACCTTTCTCAACTAAAGCCAAACCAATCTACTTAAAGAATATTATGAATATTCAACATAACTGACTTAATTGTTTGTCAATCACATAAGTAATTTAAGATAAGCTTAATAGCAGAGTATGTATCCGAAAAGAAAAAAAATGGATAGTTATCTCAAAATATTCAATATTCCCTTGTTTATTAAACAGTTTCCTATATAACATGCAATAGATTGCTTTTTTAATGTGCACATAATTATCATTAGCTAGGTAATAAAATGAATATTCATTATTTAGATAATAAATTCAGCAAACTTCTCAGAATAATTTAAAACTAGATTATGTTAGGATAATGCGAATACAAGCAAATAAATTATAGTCTTTTAAAGCATGCTTAAACATGTAAATTTTTAATATATTTTATCAATATAACTGAATTTTTTTAACTTGACTAAATAACATAATCTATTCTGGATATTAAATATTTTGTCTTAGATGATTTTTTATAAGTTAATGATGAGATATATGACTATATTTTCTTTAGAATAATAGATATAAAGCTAGATAAATGCCCCGTTTAGGGTGTTAAAGCAGTAAATGAG